TGCCCAGCAGCTTAGCCTGGCAGTCCTAAACTTTAGCCCGCGGCCTGAGTTAGCCAGCCCGCATCCAGACCGCATCCAATTAGCCTCATGAACACCCCATGAAAACCACTGAATTAATGAGAATTCACATTTTCACACCTGTGTAATTAACAAGTTTGTGATAAATTCATGAGAGGTCTGGGCTCAATGGTTAGCCCGCGGGCCTGAACAGGCCTGTCGGTCTGTGGACAGGCTGGGCTGATGATTAGGCCTTATGATAGAGAACCTTCAGACTTTAAACACCAAACAGAAAGTGGGAAACAAAAATATGCTTCCAAATTGATGCTTCCAGATTGATGATGGTTTACACTTCACTTCATATCACTTCATATTAATAAACACCCTTCACATTTTCAGCTAATATTTTCAATAAGTGATTACATATTATTGACAAGTATGATGTACAGGTATGAATGATGATAACTTTCATGAATATTCATTTTGAACATTTTCTGCAAAAGCTTCAGAAATTTCTACTGGAAGAATTTTTCCTGTACATGGGAAGAATTGTTCTGCTATTAACACTGCAAAAAGTCTCTTTCTAGTAGAAAGCTTTTTGAACATGTTTGAGGAGGTGGATTTTGCTCCTGCTGTGCTACCTGGGCTGATACCTGGGTGGGGTGTAACATTTGTGTAACGGTTATGACTAAAAAAGATCAGATAGCATCATAAAAGACCCTTGTCTCAGCAAGAACACTTCATATTAGACCTGATTGGTTGTGGTGTTGGAAGCCAACTTTTGAGGACACTTCATGGTCACTTACGTTTCTGTTTGGCAGGTATAGTCCAATCTGTCCTACTATGGATGGGCAACTCCCCTGGCCAAATCCCTTTGAAACATCATGGGGGTAGAAATTTATCTTTTTTTTAAAGAATGAAGACTTGGCTAAGTACAGATCACAACAAAACAAGATGAATGGACATGGTTAACAGATAAACAATAACTCCATGGAAACATTTAAATCAAAAGGAAAACATTTGGAGTTTTAGTGCCATAATCCTGCCATGTATAAGCCTCAGCCGATGTACACTGAAAACATAAAAAGCAAGGAATCGATCCTCAATTTGCAACATGAACTTGCTTTCAGTGCAAGGAGTTGTACAATGCTTTAGGAAATTCATGTTACATTTTCTTTTGTAATTATTCTGTTCCTGCACCTTTGTTATGCGGGTCATACCTCAGGTCACCTATTGTTCCAGGCATGCAAATGACCACTGTCCAATTATCAAATTAGAGAGTCTGGTCGGGCTACCCTGACATGGGTGCACTGGCACTGGCTCAATAGCCCGAAAAAATATCCTATCAGAAAATCTCATGACATTGTAATGACAGTGTCAGATGGCCTGGGTTCACACGGTGAGAACCATGTCTTGGCCAAATCTTTCTATCCCACAACTAGTTTATGTGTAGTGTCATGATTAGATTAGATTAGATTTAGATTATGAACAAAAAATTAATGATGAGAATCTTTACAGGATTTGTAATAAGTCTAAATTACAATTTAATTGGAAGTGCTTGCCCAAGGCCTAGAGTCAATTCTATATTGCTATATTCCACATTACAAATTGTAACCATTTCGAAAAAAACACAATGTTTCTAGATAATTTCAAAGTATGATTTAAAAAAAAGTGAAAATTTTCTAATTGTTACAATATTTGTGAAACATCTCAAATAGGTTATATATAAAAATGAAAAAGAGCTGTTCATTCAGTTTGGACATTTCCCCAAAATTTGGAACAGAACGTAAAATGCTTGTACAGCGCAGGATGTACATGTATGATAGCAGACCAGGTAGCCTGGGTGTAGGAAACGGGCGAGCAGTAGGGCCTATAACCCCCCCACTGTTACATGGGTACCAGACTGCTGCCAGGCTAGCTCCTTGGCTCCTGGAGGGCCAACATTTGCCCAAGGAAATGTCACCATAGAGTGATAATAGACATCCCTCAATAAGCCTATGAATTACATTGTAAAGGCTTGTTATCCCCTAGACACAAAGAACACAGTTTCTTTAAAAATGGGTGACAAAAGGGGAGGGAGGTGATTATGATAAAATTAACAAGTTCTAACTTCCAAGCAACAACTTGAAGTTAGTCTCCAGTCAGAATCTGATCAATGTTAGACGTGTTTCAGTTCAGTTCAGGTCATCCTCTAAGGTGCCATTTGTAATGTCACTCCATGTGGCTCTGTCTCGCATGGCGGACAGAAGTTCCTCATCCCGTAGTCCAACCTCTTCCTCGATCAGTTTCTTTAACGTAGGGACGGACGTCCCCTCCTTCTTTTTACATCTGGTTGCCAGAGAAGCACTTTGGCAGCCATCTCTGCGTGGCGTACCACATGACCGGCAAGGGCCAGCCGTCTGTTCTGAATGGTCTGGGTAATCAGGGGTAGACCGTTGTAAAGTTCTTTGTTACTCATGCGGCTCTGCCATGGAACATTCAACACACACCGAAGCAGGCGCGTGTAGTTACCATTCAGTTTCTTAGACAAGACTTTAGTTAAAGTCCATGAGTCGGAGCTATACAACAAAATAGGCTCTACACAAGACTTAAAGACTTTTAACTTTGTGGTATTCTGGATTGGGGCCTTCCACACCTTTTTTAGGGCGTGGCATGCCCCCCAGGCCTGGCCAATACGAACATTAACATCATACGCTGAATTACGTGACGTGTTTACAACTGAAGAAAGGGGATGCTTTTGCTTCCGAAGCAAAAGCATTCATTGAGTTATCAGACTGCATGAATTGTCATGACATACAAAAAATCAGATGATCATTGATCAATTACTAAGGTGACCTTGAGAGAATATTGATGTAATGTTGTAATTTTATAGAACAGGATTCTTCTTTAAGTGAATGAGTCTGAACATTATATTTAGTCTCTATGGCCGGACAACTCCTCTGGCCAATGATATTCCCCTTAGCCGATTGCTACTATTTATTTAGCCTGCAAAGGAGTCTGGTGGAGACTACATTACATGTATATTGGTGTGGCCTAACAGTTGTATATATTTATTATACAGTCATTCCTGCCGAAATTTCTAGGAAGGATTCTATCTGCAGGAATCTACAATGTCTTAGTAGGTTTTTCCTGCAGAAATTTCCTGCAGGAAGAAAATTTTCAAAATGAATTTCCATGCATGTTATCATTCATACCTGTCCAATTATCAAATTAGAGAGTCTGGTCGGGCTACTAGTACCCAGACATGGGTGACATGGTCTTTGCAGCTTGCACTGGGTAGCTCAATAGCCCGAAAAAATATCCAATCAGAAAACCTTATGACATTGTATATAATGACAGTGTCAGATGGCCTGGGTTCACACGTTGAGAACCATGTCTTGGCCAAATCTTTCTATCCCTCAACTAGTTTGTAGTATTATGATTAGAACAGTAGTCAAGCTGCCCAGATAGGGGTACTGTAATTCGATGTGTAACTCAACAATAGTCCAACTTGATAATTGGACAGTGGCATTTGCATGTCAAGAACAATAGCTAAACTTAGTTTCATCCCGCATAACAATTGTTCCTTGATCAGAATAATTACCTGAGAACTGTTGAACCATGGTTGAACAGAAATGGACTGAGGATTTTATAACTCCATTGCTTGAAAGCAGGTTTAAGTTGCAATGCATGTATTAGGCTTCTTGCTCATATTATATAGTACTAGAATTTTGTCCGGCAAAACTGTCTGTAACATAATTTTCCCAATGTTTCAACTGAACTGAACTGAACTTCAATGACATTCAGGATGCTCATGAGAAAAAATTGTTTCATTTTCTACCCCTAGCTGGTACAGAACGTGTTTGTAAGCTCTTCTTTCTTTTTTGTGGTCTACATGTAGTTGAAAGAGCATGCGAAGCTGAGTGATTGAGTGAGTGAATGAGGTTGAAAGCGGCAAAAATGTACAACACTGTTAACAGATGGGTGTGGATTATGCTCTCCTTCCTTATTTTCTGCTCTGAGAATGAAGTTTTACACATCACTTGGATCAGACCGCGGTCTGGGATGTAGTCCGTGAGGTCTGAATCCTTACCCCACCACGGCTGAAATTGGCACAGACAGTCTGCAAACATCAATCAATTCACGCCTTCCATGCCATTGTTTTGGGCTTTTTGCACCTCTTTGACCAGAAATTCCAGACCGCGGGCTGAAGTTAGGCTGACGGTCTGAATGGTTTTTGAGTAAATCAGCCCGCGGGCTGGGATTCTACACCTGTAGTCTAGTGCCTTTAGACCGAAGGTCCTGTAATTAAAACTTGCGGGCTAGTTGTTAGGCCTGACGGGCTGTTAGGAAAGACCACCGGTCTGCTTGTATTTATTATTAATGATATCTTAAGTTATGGACACTGCAGAACAATAATTTTCATATCACTGTGCTCATTACACCAAGAGCTACACACTGATGTGAAACTTGAATGTTGAAAATCAATTTTTACTTGAGTTTCCAAATGCCTTGTGACTTTCCAAAATTGATGCGACCAGTGTTATTTGTACTAATAGTTCCCTCTGGCTATTTTAGCTTCATTACCTTCGCCAAGGAGGTTATGTTTTCGTGGGCGTGTGTGTGTGTTTGTGAGCAAGATAACTCAAGAAGACTTGGATGGATTGTCTTGATATTTGGTAGGTGGGTAGGTCTTGATGAGACCTCAAAATGATTGGATTTTGGCCCCCTGGCAGCTTGTTATAAAACTGCAGCTGAATTACCGGTTATGATATCTCGATCTAGACAAGCTAGGTCCATGAAATTTGGATGATAGGTAGCTCTTGTGCTGGGGAAGAAATGACGTGAGTTTGGGCCCCCAACCAGCATGCTCTGGAACTGCAGGGGCGTTTGTTTGAAAATATCCAAAAGAGGATAACTCCAGAACCAGTTGACTGATTGACAGGTTTGGCTGTATACTACAACTGTGAACTGTGTTTTGCAGACGCTAGAGGAGTAACAATGTTTTTCTTTCATATTCACAGGATATCCAGTCTATGTTGACAGACTATGGAGTGCAACATGTTCACTTGGACAAGGCTACAGGAACAGGTAACTTCACTGATATAGCACTAAACAGGAAGTTAGGTCAAAGGTCCCAGAATAGGTTATCTCATTTCCTGTCTGTTGCATTATGGGAGCCAATGGGAAAATGCATAGACAGAATTATTGAGTAATTTACAATAACTTGATGAATAAACATTGATTTAATAAAGAAGAAATACACAACAACCCAAGAAGATATTTCACCTAGCTAGATATGACTATTAATATTATGGGATCTTTGATTTTTTGTACCTGTCTGTGTTTTGTTTGTGTTCTTAACACTGTATTATGGCAAATGTGATAAATTGTAAGAAATTGCATTTTTTTTACAATGCCCCAATTTTTTTTGCCCTCCACCACAGTTCCTAGAACATGTTACAAAAAAAGCAAGGTACACTGCTATTGTCTGTCTGGCCAGCTGTAAACAAGGACACATGAATATGTCGTTTTCTTTTCAGTGTTTTTTTTCATCTGGTTGTTTTTCCCAGACCAATTTCATGCATATGATGCTGTTTACCAGAACGTGAGTCGGTGCTCAAAGGTTTCCTTCGGTTAGAATTATTTGAATTGCAGAACCGTTGGATTGCTACTGGGTGCTTGTCAACTTACACCTTGGTATCCCTCTTGGCATACTTTAATATTGATAATGATATATGTATTCAGAGTATAGCTGTGTTTTAGAGATAGGACTGGTAGTTTATACTTATAGTACCACCTGATCATGAAGTCAACAGCTTGTGGCTTGCTTATCAAGGACTGTGTTCACGTATACTATACACGAGAGTTAGGACTTGTATCTACCAACATTTTTGGCACAGAGACACCATTGAAAAGAAAGCCAGTTTCTTTTCCTATGATTTGACATTTGACTGGATTTGAATTCCAAGATGTGTCATCTCTACTAGTGTTTTGCACTTGTCAAATTCTTCTTTGATTCGAAAAAGGAAATATGCAAATCCAACATATTATCTTATAAAGTTGTGTCACCGTGTAGAAAGAAAATGACGTCACGGTTTTTACTTCTCGTTGTTTATTTGGTGTGTTGTACGGATTGTCACGCCTTGCCGCAAAGCTGCCAGACAGAAGACGACGCGATATTTTCTGTAACGTGCTTGTTTGCTGACTTGAAGTCCCTGCCCAGTGGCATCCCAGCGAACACCAGTCGACTGGACGTGTCCTTCAACCAGATCCAAAACCTGACGGAAATTCCTCCTCTGGTAATGCTCTTCAGTCTCAGTATAAAGTATAACGCTATGGAGGTCTTTCCATGGATGTCTCTCCGCAACGTGCCGGCTTTGCAGTTTCTCACACTCAGTTATAACCAACTCGAAGAGGTCAAGTTAGACACAGTGATCGTACACCTCCCCAACCTACGGTACGTCTACCTGACTGGGAACCGGTTAGCGTCCGTCTCGGAAAGAGAACTCGGGCTACCGCAGGTTCGCCGCGTGGATTTCAACAACAATCCGCTCCACTGCGGTTGCGCTGTGCTGTGGTTGGCTGCGAAGGTGCGGTGTCTGCTGGATTGTTTGGCAGAGTTGAAGATGGTACACTGTTGCAAGCGGTGCGCGGCCTGCTATCTCGACGCTAACAGAATGGACTACAGGTGTTCCAGCCCGAACCGGTTCAAAGGGATGATGTTGGCGAACGTTTCGGGACGTCTCGCGGAGTGCAAAGCTCAAAAGATCTCAACCTCAACTGTCAGTCATGCTGTAACCCACCCTACAAATATCACTGGTGTTTTTTCAAAAAGCACTGATTCCACAAGTGACGTAGTCGGTGTCTTAACGACAACTGACCGAGAGGAGCCCGTGATTACGACGTACCATTTCGTTATAAACGTTTTGGGCTACGCGCTGGCCCTGATTCTCATCTCGTGCTTGGTGTACAAAACTGTGGAAAGTTTTCGCTGTCGTGACTCCAACAACGATGACAGCGGCGCATCGGAGGATGGGAACAACATCGCAATGCGACAGAGAGACTCGACAGTGGAGATCAATACCTAGCCTACCCCGAAGTTAATTTTTTTACTGTTGTCCCAAAATTGTCAATGATACATGTACTCCTGTCTTTTGCCTGTCTGTCATATGGTCTGGAAGCCAAACGCCTAAACCTGCAGCGCCACCCAAAACAATACTTCTGTCCCGGAAGGAATAACAATTACTTTTAGAAAAAGAGAGATTTACATGTAACTGTGACCATCCAAGTGCAAACATCAATTGAACTGGTAATGCTTTGTGACTCCACTAACTAGTACAAGCACTGTGCAGAATTGTGCTAAAATATTTTGTTTTCATAGTGTACCCACCACCCAAAAACAATGCTTGCAATTGAGCTGGCAGTTTAGAGACAGCACAATTACTACTACTGACTACATAGTCAGTAGGGTGTCTGAAGCAGGATTGGGTAGTTGTTGTTACAATGTGAACACTTGAACAGAGGACATGTTTTTCCTTAGCTCTCATGTGTTGGCTACTTGACTTACATTGCAATAATATTTGCATGTTACTTTGTGAACAATGTAATTCAAGACCTTAACCTAAAGCCTCGAGAACCTAAATGCAGGGATACTATTTTGAATTGCTGGTCTCAAAAGCCTGTTCTGATCTTGTACTATGTTGTATAACAATATTCTCATTACGTATTCTTGACTTGTAACATCTATGACTCCTACTGTTTGTAGAAATGAACTATACACTTGGTCTTCGATCTCACTGTAAATCAGAACCGGGTACCGTGACAGTCTCAGAAATAAGCCAGGAGCCATACCGGTATTCTATTCAGAGTCAACTTGCAAAAACTGCAGGGGTCAGAATAACATTTTCCTATTGAAAATTATCTGCACCAGACAAATTTTACCCACACCATTCAGAATTGAAGAAGTATGGATAATACATGTACTAAAAACTGTACATTCAGTCCACACCAATTTAATTTGTTGCTTCCCGGATCGCCCTGTCCATTTTTTTCTGATTTGGAAAAAAAAAAAATTTTTTGGGTTGTAGATAAACTGCAAAATGCTCAATGAAAGAAATATTTTGGCCCCAACGGTTGGAAAAAGTCCTTTCTTCCTAGTTCTTAAGTTTTCCAATGTAACAATGCAATTTTGTTTCATTAAAAGTTCAAAATCTATTGTTTTAATTATAAACCAGCTGGTATGTTCACTTCATGGCTCATATTGTAACATTTCTGGCTATGATGGGGTGCCTTGGCCTGTTTTTTTTTTTTTGCCCTGTCGCTCCTGATTTTTTCTGAAAAAATATGAGAAGCAACAAATTAAATTGGTGTGGCCTCAGGAACAAATTATCATTAATATTTCTTTATACTTCATATATATGGTAACACTTATTAATGTTCCAAATAAACTCAGTACATGAACCTGTGCAGGTTTCGTGCACGTAGACACCAGACTGAGTATACAACTAACATTTCACTTGTACAAACCTGCAAATAGTGCAAGATTTTGTATTTTGAGCCCCGAACTGCGTTTTTACCATTTTACCGTCAGCGCTGAGATTGTACATGACATTGTAGCTGTAGGGAGAATCGTTGCTGTGCTAACGCCCGCTTGTTATGGATAATGGCAGGTTTAGACTGGTTGTTTTTATGTCTGCTGCATTAGCCGTGGATTTCATACAACCTGTGCAACCGGTGCCAGGCAGAGTCAATGTAACTATTTGTTAAGAATCATTACATCATCAAGAATACTATATAACTAGAAAGTAAGGTAACATTTGCAAAGTAAATGCGTAACGTTTACCTTTGCATATGGTCTGCTCTGTTAATTCTTACTCAAACACATTCACATACATTGTATATGGTGGAAGGAGTCTAAATCCCTCCTGCTATAGAATTGCAACAAGATGTAACCCAACACCAGTAACCATGGTGAGAGACGTCTGGTTCAGGTCACTGACCTTTTTGGTGTGGAGAAGAAGAGGAAACTGAGCAAAAACAATTATGTTTTCCTTCGGTAAACATAATCATGTTTTTGTTTATAGTTAATTATACCGATGTAACATTGTGATTTAGCATAACTCCATACGCTAAAAATTGTTATCAAATATTGGATGACAGTTGGAATTAGAGAACCCAGAAATTGAATTGGTGTGGTCAGTGGCGTTATGTATGCCTGAATTAGAAAATGGAGTGGAGACAAAATCCGGAAGAAGATTATGTTTTGGTGAGGACAAAGTGGTATTATACTTCGCCCCAGGGGGAGTTTCCAATGAGATACTTTTTACTGTAAATTCATTTATTTTTGCAGAAGAAGGGAAAATGAGGTTTTTGCAGTGTTTTTAGTTGTGGATAAAAGTAACCTGACGTACAGTAACAACACATTGGCTGTGTCACAAATTTCAGCAGTGAAAACCATGAAAATAAAAATCACCACTTTTTTTTTCAAATTTACGGTAGCCGTTAGGTCCCAGATGCAGCGCACTAATGGGTAAAGGGACATCACAGAAAGCAGGTAAAAGCCATCTTGGTATAAAAAAAATGGAATTTGCCTTCAGACTCAGTGTTCTTTTGACCCTAGAGTAAAATCCAGCCGACCCTATAGCCTTTATTCTTCTGTTGACTGCTAGCAAGACTGTAAAATATTCTATCAGACATCTGAATTTCAAATCCCCACAAACAACTGGAGAGACAAGCCCTTGTCTTGATACATTTCACTTCAACTGGAACCTATAGCTAGTAGTAAACGATGAAAACTGAATAAACAAAATTAGAATCCATGCCTACTTGGGCCTCGAAATACTTTTTTTTCAGGTACGTGCCAAATTGCATGTTGGCAATAATTTTTAGGTGCCATTTGAAAAATTTATGTGCAAAATGATATTTAGTCGGTCGGCATTACTGTTTTCCAAGTGGTATACTCCACATGTCACAAACACTAGAATAACTGTTGGAAGTTTCTGAAACATTTTATACGGTACATATTAAATAAAAATTTACCAACACACTGAGAGCAATGAAGTATTTTTATTTGGCAAATTTAGATTACA